TGAAGGGAGAGGGACGGGAGGGTACGGGAAAGGGGAAGAGGGAAAAAATTAATCCGCGTAAAAAAAGGTCATGAAATTCATAATATAACGATTAAAATTCGCGTTTAAAACAACCGTGAAATTTACATTTTTGTAATTTTGCTTTAATTTAGTTTTTTTTTTTTTTTTTTAAAAAAGGCAAAACCTTTTAGTTCGACAAAAATTTTGAAAAATGACAATAAAATGTGACAACATCAACGTTAGGAAAATTATTGAAAAAAAATTTCCGATAGTAAAATGGTTACCAAAGTATAAATTATCGGATATATTTTCCGATTTCGTTGCTGGAATAACAGTTGGTTTAACGTTAATACCTCAGGCTATAGCATATTCCGCTTTAGCCGGATTAGAACCTCAAGTAAGTTTTTGTTCGAGTCATTAATTTTAACGGCACGCCATTACAATTTTTTTCATGTTAATAAAGAATATTTTTTATTTTTTTTCCCATTCCGAAGTATGGACTCTATTCCGGATTTGCTGGAACGTTCGTTTATATTTTTTTTGGAACAGTCAAACAAGTTAATATTGGACCCACGGCTGTCGTTTCTCTTTTAACTTATTCATATACAAAAAATATGAATTCGGATTTTGCCGTACTTTTATGTTTCTTAGCCGGAGTTGTCGAATTTGTGAGTGGATTACTTCATCTAGGTAAGCAAATACCTTATAAAAAAAAAATTTATTCAGGTTTTTCAAGTCTTACAAGGTACGACTTAAAACCGTACGTAAAAAAAAAAAAAGTTTCGATGATATAAATTGAAAAAAAAAAAACTCTTAAAAATTTACTTATATGCAATTCCAAAACGCTAAACACTAAAAATAGTATAAACACTAAAATAACTAAAAAAAAAAAATTTTATTGTCGCGCAGTAAAAATTTTCACCATTTTGTTTTTTGTTTTTGTAAAAAATAATTACAAACAAACAACAAACAATCGCAGGAGAGCCAAAATCACGTCACGAATCGAAACAAACGGTGCAACAAACTATTTCACAATCTTTAATTATCACTTCCATTTAAATTTTGAGCTGCTGGCATTTTGTTTTCCCCCTTTTTTTTAAAGTTTATAAAGGTATAAACAAAAACATTAGCAAAAAAAAAAAAAAAAACGCGGCGTACGAATAACGCACGGTTTAAAACGCATAAATATAAAATTTAAATAATCATATTAATTGTTTTGCAACAAATGAGCCGAGATGAAAATCAAAAGGTTATGTTGTTATGTTATCTTTTATTATATTTCGTTTTTTTTTTTTTTTTTATTACAAAACACCTCGAAATTTTTTTTTTTTTATTATTTTATTTTAAATTTAAATAATTTATCAACTGTTTGAATCGGAAAAACTAATCGGGATTACTTAAGACACTTTTTTTTTTTGCTTTCGCGAAATAAAAGAAAATAAATAACGAAGGTGATGGTTGTAACCCCTTACACAAAAAAAAAAAAAAATTATCTATCGTAATATATATATATATATATATATATATATATATATATATATATATATATATATATATATATATATATAGAACGTTTCATTCACGTTTTACATATTGCGTAAAATTATTTTCCGCGGTAAAAGGCGTTGATTAAAATTTTTTTTTAAACAGGTTCATTGGTTGAATTTGTTTCTGTACCCGTGACCGCAGGATTTTCATCAGCTGCCGCATTAATAATTGCAAGCAGTCAAATAAAAGGTCTTTTAGGAATTTCAATCGATTCGGAAAATTTTTTTCAAACCATAACGGAAGTAGTTCACAATTTGTCAAAAACGAGACGATGGGATTTAATACTTAGCATATGCTGTTGTACTATTTTGCTACTATTGAGGGTAATTTTATGTATTTATTTATTTATTATTATTAAATTTTTAATAATAATGAAAATTTTTATTGATTTATAGAAATTAAAAGATGTAAAATTAAATTTTTCCACGAGTAAAAAATTAAAAAATTTTATCAATCGTGGATTTTGGTTATTGTCAACGTCGAGAAACGCATTAGTCGTCATTGCGTGTGCAACATCCGCTTATTTCCTATCGAAAGAATCATCAAATCCGCCATTTTTACTAACTGGTAAGTTTCTTTTTCCTCTTGTTTGAATTGAGTGAAAGAAAATAAATAAAATTTCGGATTAAATAGGTGAAATACAACCTGGTTTCCCGCAAGTTTCACTTCCGCCATTTTCGACAACCGTTCACAATCGTACTTATAACTTTATAGAAATGTGTAGTCATTTAGGAAAGGGAATAATAATAGTACCACTCGTGTCACTTTTAAACAATGTCGCCATTGCGAAAGCTTTTGGTGAGTATCCAGCTACCACCACCCGATTACCACCACATAATTCTCTTCTGCTTTTATGATAATCATTTTGAATTTGATTGAAAGCATCCGATGGTATATTCGACGGAAGTCAAGAAATGATGACGCTCGGTCTTTGCAACATCGTGGCATCTTTTTTTAAATCGATGCCCATTTCCGGTTCTTTTAGTAGATCCGCCGTAAATAACGCGAGCGGTGTACAATCTCCTCTTGGGAATTTTTTCACGGGTTCACTCGTCATATTAGCTTTAGGATTTTTGACGCCATATTTTTATTACATACCTAAAGCGACTTTATCGAGCGTCATCGTGTGCGCCGTCATATTCATGGTCGAAATACGATTAATTAAACAGATTTGGATATCGAGCAGTAAGAAATTGTTTAAAATATTTTTCTTTTTTTTTTTTTTTTATTAAAATAACTATTTCACAGACTTTTTACCATTTTTTTTTTTAGAAAAAGATTTGATTCCGGCATTTGCAACTTTTATTATTTGTCTTTGGATAGGAGTGGAAGTTGGTATATTTATCGGCGTGACATTTGACATTATTTATTTATTATATTTAAATGCGAGACCACAATGTGAAGCGAATGAAAAATTTGTTTGTATTCATTTTTATTATTATTATTATTATTATTTTCTACATATGAGATAATATATCATTGATGACCATTTTAAATTTATTTATTATTATTTTCAGGATTGTTTATCTTTTTGTCCGAAATTTTCATTTTTATATTTAAACATTGATTACATAAGGACAAAAGTTAACCATGAATTAATAAAAAAAAAAAATTCAAATTCAAATCTCATCATTATTATCATCGATTGTAGTTACGTTCAAGTCATCGATTATTCTGCCGTACAGGTATTTCTATTGATTTATTCAAATAATAATAATAATAATAAATAATAATAATAATAAATTTATTAATTAAACAGGGTTTGAAATCATTGATAAAAGATTGCAAGGAAAAAAATCATCAAATCCTTTTTTATAAAATGAATGAAAATTTAGAAAAAAAACTCGGAAAATTTATCGGCCATGATTTCGTACACGTTAAAAATAATTCCGAATCATTCGATAAAGGTAAATTCATCATCATCATCATCATCATTATCATTATCATTATTTAAAACATTTTCTTTTTTTTTTTTTTGTAGAATTTTTCGAAAATTTAAAATTACACGAATCCGAATCGAATCCGACGGAGATTGATGGAGAAAATTTAGAAAAATTTAAAATGAAAAATTTTATTATTAACGGCATTCAATCATCGAATGGATGATGGGAAAAAAAAAATTTAGAAAATTTCTAGAATTTTCCAAAAGAAAATTAAAGTTGACACGACAAAGTTGTATGTGACATTCACATCAATCGTCAAAAATTTTAATTATTTATTTATTTTTTTAATAAGTTAATAATAAAAAAAAATTACGTTTGCACGTGTATAATTCAATGCCGCCATTTTTCTTTTTTTTTCTTTTTATATCAATAATTTAATTAAAAAATAAGCGACCCTCAATTTCGATTTAATTACTCGAATGATAACAATAATAATAATAATAATAATAATAATAATAATTTAGAAAAATAAATCACCGTCCTAATTATTATTATTATTATTAATTTTTTTTGTATCATTTGATTATTGGTTGTGTATAATTAAAAATCCAGAAATTTCGAATTCTTTTTCCTTTTTTTTCCTCCCGAAATATCAGGGCCGAATTCAGGTTTTAAAAAAAATTTCTTATCACTTGAAAAAAAAATTAATGATAAAAAATAAAACGGTAATGATGATAATGATAATAACGATATAATCCCGCAATAATTTTTTTTTTTATTATTATTATTGCGATTTTTAAAAAAAAAAAAAAAAGAAGGTTAGTTGTTAAAAATTTTTTTTTGCATTATATATATATGTGTAATAACAATAATAATAATAATAATAATAATAATAATAATAATAATAAATGATATTTTTCAATCTTGATATATTAAAATGAATATAATATTAGTTGATGTAATATTAGTTGTTCGATGGTTTTTTTTCCTTTTTTTTTTCTTACCACAATTTAAAAAAAAAAACTGCCTATCATTATATATTATTATTATTATTATTATCATTATTATTATTACCCTTTGGCATAGAAACTTGATTAATCGTAATAAAAAAAAAAAATTTTTTTCTTATTCTATTGCTATTATGCATATCTATGTATATACATATAAATAAATTTTATGAAATGATAAACATAAAAAAAAAAAGGGGGGCCCTAATATTATTATTATTTATCATGATGACGTAAAAGCAACAAAAAAACGTGGAAAGGTTTATAAAAAAAAAAAAAGATTGAAAATTAAATTTTTTATCTCACGGCAGGAGCAGCAGCAGCATCCAATTAAAAAACCGAACTTAAAATTTAATATTTTTATATTATTATATATTTTATATTAATATTTTTTTTTTTAAGGCGAGAATATATGTTTTGATTAGAAAGAGAAAGAAAGAGAGAGAGAGAGAGAAGTAATAACGAGAAACTTTTTTTTTTTTTTTTTTTTTAAATTATTTAATATTTAAATTGAACCGTTAACTTTCTCTAAATTTTTTTGTAAGTGTGTGCGTGCGTGTGTGAGTGACACATTTATAAAAAAATAAACGGGGATGATGATGATGATGATGATGATACGTCAAATTCTATTTCGTAAAATAAAATAAAAATGTTTTTTTAGTTTGTTTGTTTGTTTGTTTTTTTTTTTTTTTTTTTTTGGGTGTGCGTCTTACACAAACGAACAAACGATTTGTCACTTTTACTTCTTCTTTTTTTCTTTTTTTTTTTTTTGATGTTTGAAAGGGAAAATAAAAAGTAAAAAGCAAACATTTTTTTTTTTTTCGTAAAAAATTTAAAAATAAAAAAATAAAAAATTGTAACTAAAAAAATTGTAAGGTTTTTAAATGTAAAAATCGCTACAATTAATTACAACCCGCGTGAATTTTATCGAAAATAATTAAAATTACTACAATCAATCATTACTACCTACTACCACAATCAAATTAATTATTAAAAAAAAAAAAAATTATTTATATGTATATTTATATAGATTCTTTACCGCTCGTCACATTAGAATTCAATCGAAGGAAGTCTGTCATTTTAAAACAAACGCACACGCACACGCACACCCTGAAGTAAATTTAAAAAGTTTTCTCTTCCGTCAAAACGTTTCAAATGTTTATTAAATTAATGTAAGAAAGAAAACATAACCACTTTTCCAAAGGCGTTACAAAAAATAAAAAATTGAAAATTTTTTTCTATTATCTTAGAAAAAAAAAAGAGAGAGAGAGAGAGAGATAAATAAAGAGAAGAAAGAACGAAAGAAAGAAAGAGAGAGAGAGAGAGGGCGAAAATCAATAAGTTTCTTTCTTAATAAAAAAAAAAAAAAAAGAAAAAATAATTATTTATTTAAATAATAATAATAATAACGCAACAACACGTTCATAAAACAACAACTAAAATTAATTATTATTATTATTTTTTTAATACCCATTGTTATTTAATTATTATTATTATTAATTAAAAAGAAAATTAAAAATAAAAAAAAACTCACGTTCGGACCGTAACGTAAATTTTTCAAATAAAAAAAAAAATAACATTAAGTAATTATTAAAGACACAACAATGTGGTTATGCTGCAACAAACATAACCAATAATCAACACAAACAATACATAAAATAAAATAAATAAATAAATACATAAATTTATTGTTTCCCCCCCCCTCGAATAATACATCATTGAATAAATAAAATAAATATTAAAATAAAAAAATTTCAAAATTCTTTTCTTTTTTTTTTTTTTAATTGTGTGAAATCAAATCTATAGAATTAAAAAGAATATTATTATTATTATTATTATTATTATTATTATTTCTCTTATTTAAATTCGAAATGTTTTTTTTTTTTTTGTAAATGTACAGGTACGAACAAACTCGTCAAGGTATCTCGAGAAGGTATATATAAAAAAAAAACATAAAAGATTTAATCGTTTACAAAAACAAGATATATCCAATTTCTAAAAACAAAACACGTCGTGAAAATTATTATTTTCTCATGAGTTATTTAATAAATAATTATTATTGTCATTATCATTATTATTATTATTATTATTATTATTATTATTATTATGTAAATAAAATTTTAATTAATTAATTAATCAATCGGTATAATTATTTTTTTTGTTTGACGAAAAACAAAATGGAAAAAAAATTTCAAAACTTAAGATAAAATTCAATCAATTCAAATTTTTATTTTAATGACGATAATCAACTGGAAAATTCCAGAATGGTCCTAAATTTTTTTTCTTTTCTCGCTGAGAAAATTGTTTGGGATGGAAAAAAAAACACAATGATAAGGGAGGAAACGGGAAGGGAATAGGGAGGGAAAAAGGGGCGTTAAAAAAAAATTTTTTTTTTTAATTTCGGCTTTATCATTTTTTTGTTTTCTCTCTGGAGAAAATTTTTTTTTTTTTTTTTTTTTTTTTTCAAAAACAATGCAACAACCATTTCCAGTCAAACAATAAAATAAATTTTAAAAAAAATTCATTTCGACAAACGACTCTCGCTGGAGAAAAAAAAATAAAATAAAAAAAAAAAATAAAAACTTGAAAAATTTATAACAAAAACAACTTGTACAGTTAATGATAACAAGGTTTTATCAATAAATAAAATAACTTTATCAATAAAAAAAGGGAGAGGGGGGAGGACAAATAAAAAAAAAAAAAATCCAGCAAAATTCCCAAATCGGAAAAAAAATAGTAATAATAATAATAATAATAAAAAAAATTATTATTACGTAAGTAAAAAATTGTTTTGAAATTTTTTTTCTTTCTTTTTAATACTTTTCCCTAAAAATTAACCCGTAATGTAATAATAATAATAATAATAATGGAAAAATACAAAGTTATAATTATTAATTAAGTTTTTCGAATTTTTTTTTTCATTTCTCCCCCTCCCCCTCCCCCACCACCACCACCACCAAGTCAAGTTTCACGTTGTTATTTCTTTCTCATTATAAAGTAAATGATTATGATGATATTAAAAGTGAAAATTTTTTTTCTCCATAATCATCATCATCATCGTCGTCGTTTGTTGTTCGTTCGTGTTTATTCGTAGGTTCCAGGTACGAAGAATGTAACATGTACCGTTTTTTAACTTCACCTTTAAAAATGCATTTTAATCAAAAAAAAAAAAAAAAAAAAAAGTTTCTACTTTCATTGCGGTGCTAGTATATCGGCCCAGTAGGTCGAAAATAGTCGGTCGTTATAAACATTGTTTGTCTCTCGCGTAGTCGATTGTTTGTTGGTTGTGTTTGTACATACAATAATAAAACAATTTTTTTTTTTATTTTAATATTTTTAAATAAAAAATAAAATAAATTCAACAAACGGAATATAATAATAATAATAATAATAATAGACTCAAAAAGAAGAAAAATCAAAACGATACAAAATGGTAAGTTTTTTTTTTTCATTTTTTTTTCCCCCTTTTTTTTTTTCATCTTCGCCACAAAACCAACAACAAGAACAAACAACAACAACAACAACAACAATCAAAATTTTGAAATTGAATTAAAAAACGAAAAATATCGCGATACGACATTTTTTTAAAAGACAAACGAATAAAAAGTCACTTTTCCTTTCTTTTAAATCAAAAAAAAAAAAACTCGCTTTTCACTCGGTTTTACTTTTTATTATTATTAAGGTTTGGCTTTTAAATTTTTTATTTTTTTTCCTCTCCCCTTCTTCTTCCCCTCCCCCCGCGTTTGCACATCTCTCACCTTTTCCCCGTTTTTTCTTTTACTCTAAACTTTCCCGAAGATGGTAAAAATAAATTTCCCTTTTTTTTAAAATTAACAACATATTTTTAATAAATACTCTTTTATGTAAATAACAAATAAAAAAGAAAACATTGTTTTATGCTTTATGTTGTTTATCAACATACATAATTATATTATGTTGTGTTATTTCATTAACATAACCAACGACAAACCCGATTGTGAAACAAATTTAATAAACCGCCATGTTTCTTTTTTTTTTTCCTTTACACGTATATATTTATTTATTACTTTTCACGATTTTATTTATTAATGATATTTTCAACGAGGTTAATTATTATTATTATCATTATCATTATTTTTATTTCTTAAAATCGATTTGTTAAAATAAATAAATAAATGTTAACCTAAAAAAAAAAAAAATTTAAATTAATTTACGGTTTTTTTCCCCGCTCTGATTG